AGAAATTATGTCTCTAGCTGTGCCATAGGCAATTTGACTCAAAAGTTATTTTCTGAAAAATTGCAAGGTTTGAGAGGTAGTTTTGTCTTCTGAAAACTTATGTTTTAGTGTTTAAAGCAAGATTTTCCTTAATAGCTGTTGTTTCAGCCTTTCAGTAGTGTTGTTAAGCGCTTTTCAAAGATAATTTGTAGTTTATTTTATAGTTCTGTACTTACAGGCCATTGATTTTTCTAATTCAAAAGTATTGGGAGAATGCCAGTGAGTTGCCAGAAAAGCATTGATGTTTTGTGATATATAACATCTTAACACACAACAGTGTTTGGATATCCAGTGAATGCAACATGAAAAAATAGTCTAGTAACTTCAGAAAAGCAGGGCTGTGATGGTTTTTGCTTTACAGTCTGCTAAACATCAGAAAACATTCATGTGAGATCAGTAGACTTGATCTGTTTAAAAAAGATGTGAAGAAAATCTCCTACAATTCTCAAATTCTTGAGATAGAAAAACACCAGAGAAATCCTTATGAAGGATCTTACTGTTGTGTTAACATTTCTGTGTTTGTGGGATCAAGCAGGAGAGAAAAGCAAAAGAGAGAATTTTTTTTCCACAACTAGTTGGCAAACTCTTGAATCAAAAGTCATTCAGCTTTTAAAAGAAATACCCATCTGTTAAATGTAACTTGCTTTTTACTTTCAAGTTTAGTCAGACATCCATGAAACAAGCTTCTCACTGCATACCAATTATAAGACTTTTTTTTTTCTTTTTAATTAAAAAACAAAGTTCATAGCCTGACTTATAACTTGGGAAATACAGTTACTGTGTAATTTTACATCTGAAATACTGTTAATTTTTTACTGATCCTTCCTCAAAGCAGAAGACTAATAACAGACAAATATTTTAAATGAGCTTTTAATTTATTCAACTTTTTATTGTATCTGAATGCATTTTGAATGACTAATTTAGAAGATGCATGTAATTCAGAAGTGTTAATGGAAATAAAAATAAGTGGTATTTGCTGTATTTCACTGCAGAGGTTCTGCACATACTTACTGATTTCACTTAACTGGGACATTGTAGAATTGAAATGCATAAAATAATGTTCTTATTCCTTAACTAATAAGACCAAATTCCTGAGCTTTCCAGTTTAAATATTCATTTTTTGTACTAGTTTTATATAATCCATTTGTAAAAGTACATTTCCCATATTCTCATATTGCTGGTGGCAGAAAACTGTTTTGTGTGCTACTAATGCTACAACTGATTTAAAGCCTATTATTAGAGATTACATACTGAAGAATAGATTTAATCTGTAATTTACTCAGGATAAATTAATTGAAATGGTCAAATATTTAAGAAGTAGATATCCATTTCATAGTGGACTGCGAGACTTGTTTTGATTGTGCTGTAAGTATAAACTAAAAATACTTGTCAGTTTCTTTTTTTTCTCTGTGCTTTCTATGTTTTCTGTCTTCAGTCTTAGCTTGTTTGTTCTGATTTGTTTCAAAGATCTGTAAGTGGGAAAATTGTGCTCTTAAAACTCTGATTTGTCTGTGGAGACAGAAAAACAGAAGTGATTGGAAAAAAAAAGATAAATACATAAACCCCACAGTCCTCAAAACAAACTGTGGGCAGAAGCAAAAATTAAAGATGATGTGAACCATTGTGTAGTATTTTTGGCATTTGCTTTGATTACATAGGTAATATTTAAAAATAATCTGCTCTGACAGAGATAGGAATGAGAACATAAAATAGAACAAGTGTACTTCAAGATTGAAACTTTATTTCTGAGGTGTGTGTTTGTATAAAACTCCTAAAGTTCAGTTGTACGATGTAAAAATACTAACATGCGTTTTTCCACCGTGTAATTCGCAGTTTTTTGGTGGATCTTTATTCAACTTGAACCTCTGGAAGTAGAATTAAGAACTGTCTTTTCCTGCCTGAGGTTTGCTGCTGCTTCTGAAGAAGGGATGCATCAATATCAGCATTCTAATTTGCAGAATCACATAATCATTGAGGTTGAAGGGAACTTTGTACGTTACCTAGTCCAATCCCCTGTTCAACTGTTGCAGGTTGGTCAGGACTGTGTCCAGGCAGGTTTTGAATATCCCCAAGGATGGAGACTCCACAGCTGCTGGGAGCAACCTGTTCCAGTGTGCGATTATCCTCACAGTAGAAGATTCTTCTTATGTTTAAGTGGGATTTTCTTTATTTCACTTTGTGCCCATTGCCTCTTGTCCTGTCACTGGGCACCACTGAGAAGGGTCTGGCTTTGTCTTCACTCCCTACTGCCCCCGTCCCCACATCAGGTATTTATGCACATCGGTAAGACCCTCTAAGCCTTCTCTTTTCAAGACTAAACAGTCCCAGCTCTCTGCCTCTCCTGGTATCATGGATGTTCCTAGCCCTCCATCATCTTTGTGGCCCTTCCCATGTCTCTCGTACTGGGAGCCCAGAACTGGACCCAGTGCTCCAGGTGTGTCACACCAGTGCTGAGTAGAAGGGAAAGATCACCTCCCTCAACCTGCTGGCAATGCTTCTCCTAATGCAGCCCTGGATGCTGTTAGCAATTAAGGTCAGGAGTGCACTTCGGAAACTTACCTCATGGTCATGCCCATCTAGGGTGCTTTGATTCACCTCACAGAGTAGTTTGAGAGCATGAAATAGTTTTTTTTCCAGTGTAAACTAAACTGGAGGGTGTTCCACAGGAGTGCTTCAGATTTGTGCTCTAATCACTACAAGCTGTTTTATCCACATGACTTGACCATAACTAATCCAAAGTATCTGCCTTCTCCTTTTGCCTTCTTGAGATCTCAATTACTATAAATCCTACAGTTAAGGTGGTTTTTCTGATTTAATTAGAAATATTTCATTTTCTTTATTAGACTATAGAGACAAGCTTTGAAAAATACTGATAGTTTAAATATTGTGCAAAAGCTTAGAAACCTGTGAATTCCACATATAGATCTCTTACTCAGATTTTACAAGACCAAAATTGATCCTTAAACCACACTGAAGAATGGCAGTATAGAATACTGAGTGGTATCTTGGGTTCATAATAGATATTATTAGATTACTTGTTTTGTCATCTAACCTTAATAATTACCACTTTTGTTTGTAATTGCAAATTTTGTTTTACCTATTTAGTTTGTTTATAGGTTGCTATTCTTCAAATAACAGTGAATTCTAATGTAATTTACTACAACTTAAAGTAATTTTAAGTAAGAGACATTTTACTTGAGATAGTTTTGACTTGGCAAAGTTTGTCTAGCAGGTAACATAACCTTGAAATATGCTGTTACCAATCCATTTTCCTCTCTAGGCTTTAGAATACTTTAAAAGAATCTGAGGGGAAGAGGGGGTCACGATACTACCCTTTTTTTGGTTTGAGTTTCTTAATTAACTTTGTGTGTAGTCTTCCTTCCCCCCACTTTCGTCTCAGATTTTTTTTCCTTGCATTTCTCCTTAATCTAATTTTACTTGAAAATAAGTATTTTAAAGTAATTTTTCTTCTCTGGAGTGTTTCAGATTTTTAATTGATGCTGCCAGCCTAATACTTACCTTGTCTTTTGTCAGTTTCCTTCAGCATCATATGATGAAGAGGAGGTGTAAGCCCCTTTGAACTTTGTTTGTCAATCTATTAAATCTATTTTTAAAAGTCTTTGAATTCAGACAACTTTGACTTAGCCATGTAGAAATAGCATATATTTATGACCTGCATGCAGAAATTACATGAATGAAGTATGATACATTAATGTTCATGAAAGCAAGAATAATTTTTATTTTTCTTTGCAGATGCGTTCTTTATGAAAATACATTTGCGATAGTTTGAGTACAATCCAATTTAATGTTTTTGCGTCCCTTGCTTCCCACATTTGTATTCCAACTGTTGTCTTCCTGTACCAAGGAGTTACCAAACATTTTTCTGTCAGTGGTTTGACAAAGGGAAGAGGAAGGTGTAGAATATGAATGAGTAATACGTTACGGCCTGAGAAAGCTTTCATCTCTAAATCAGAATCAAAATATAGCTAAAGTTACGGCAATGGATTTTGTTACTATTTAATGTCAATTTGTTACTATTGAATGTGAAAAATTAAATTCCAGTTCCTAATAATTTTTTTTCTATACTAGAGAACTAAATATGCACATGGAAAAAGAACTGTAATCTTTTGATCCTGTTAGACCAGGAAAAAGAAAGATGGATAGTAGGACAGAATTTAGAAGATAGAATCAACCTATTGTGCATGCTTGCTGGCTGGAACTTTTGTTCTCCAATATTTTTACTTGGCACAGAGTTAGTTTAAAATGGGAGTGAGGGGAGTTTCAGTTGTTATCCAAACATAAATCTGGAATAACTTACTGTGTGTTAGGAATGAGTGCCTGGCACGTACTAAAGACAAAATACTCGCTCTGAAATTGTGCTGTGTATTAGCAAAGGAAAAATAACGTGGTATTACGTGACATAAATAAAAGCAGAGAATTTTCTGTAAAGCTCACTGTATCATTCCTTCCAGCACACCCACACTTAGTATTTGCTGAACAAAGATTAAGGGCAACAAATCAAGACATAATTTTGTAGTTGTCTTGGCTAAACATTTTTCTGAGAATGATTGCTTGCCAAGTCTTTATGAATTTGAAGATGAATGTCCTGTCTGCAAACTGAGAGCAAACCCTCTTTTAGTTAATAATTGGCAAAACAGTTCTGTTTTCGTGCGTAAAAGATTACAAATGACTTTAGCTCTACTTATCATATTAATTAATATTTAGACATTAGTGCCATGTAGCCTCCTTTACCTCTTTAGTGCTTTACTTCATGCATATGCTACTGTTGTTGGTCACAGAAGAATCTGTTTTGCTACTTGATTTGGGTAAAGGGGGCAAAAAATGTAGATTGTATCTGTTATGAAGCCAAGTGCATAAAACAAGCTTAAAAAGAACCTATAATTGCATTCATTTATTTGTTTCCAGGTATTCCAGATCTTCATCACAAATAGTGAAGAGAGATGAGAGTTACAAGTCACTTATTTCCAAGATTGTCTACATTCTTCAAATACTTCGTTTAGGCTTTAAAAACTTGAGAAGTTTTGCAGCTACGATGTATGGTTTTAGTTGTCTTTTTATATCAGAATTTTTGGCAAGTTGGCTTTTCACAGAGGAAATTTTTTATCAAAAGTTACCAAGCAAATGGCTCCTGTAAGTGTAGCTGTTTAGCTTTACAGTATATTACTCTGGTCATTAGGGACATGCACTTTGAACATTTTTCAATGTATAGAGAGAAGTTCTGAAGAGAAAAGTGAAATAATTTTGATGTAAAATGGCATCTCAAGTGCAGCATTTTTAAAAGGTGAAATAATGCAACTGTAATATAGAACACTAAGAGGACTTCTTTCGGTGGTGTCCATTCCATTCAGGAGATTAACTTCTAGTTATTAGAAATGGAACCACTTGCATTAAAGCAAAATTTTTGTGACTTAGCAAGCACAGTAATAATAAATTCCACTGGTTTTGCAATGTTTTAGAAACCAGAACAGCTGTATTTAAAGGAATGTAAATATTTATTCTGTTTTCTTTCAGATGGGGGGGGAACTGAACTCATGTTACATTTAGCTTTCTCAGCAGAGATGTTGGAGGCGGTAAACTTTTGGCCTCTTGCTTATGAGTTCTTTGCTACTGAGATTACCTGCCAACATAAACGTGGAGGACAGTTCTTTGACCATTAATTGCCAGTTTAAAATTTCACTAATGATATTAACGCAGGAAAATTATGTTTTGCTCATTGCTGCTGAAAATTCAGTAATGAAGTGAGTTTGCCCATTTGCTGCAAGTTAAACTGGAAAAGTACATAATAGATTTCCTTCACTAGATCAAAGCATATCTTTCAGTTACTATCATGTAACCTTACCATAAGTAATATTTGTGTGATAAACTACGCACAAAAGTAAAAGATATGGAAGAGGCTTCTGACACCTTAATTGGCAAAGGTAGTAGTATCAATACCAACACAGTCTTACAAATAGCCTTCATATAGAATACTTGGGACATTTCAAAATTAGAGAGAGCAGAGAGAAGGATGACAAAAGACACAGACATGAAAAAACTTGTGTTTGGAAATAAATTAAGATTCTTTGCCTTAGGAATAAGATGTAATAATAATAGACAAATATGCGAAGAGTAGAACTTGTAGACACTTTGACCTGTTGTCTGTAACAAAGCAAGGGATTGCTTACTGCTTTCAGATTCACTCACATATTGTTCTTCATACAGGTAATGTCAAAAGCAAAATTTCAAAACATTAGAAGACTTATTATTTTTTTCAGTAGTGTCTGTAGAGGCAAATACCAAATTATTTCATAGAATCATAGAATCGTTTAGGTTGGAAAAGACCACTAAGATCATCGAGTCCAGCCATCAACCCAACACCACCATGCCCACTAAACCATGTCCCGAAGCGCCTCATCTACACGTCTTTTAAATACTTCCAGGGATGGTGATTCCACCACTTCCCTGGGCAGCCTCTTCCAATGTTTAACCACTCTTTCAGTAAAGAAGTTTTTCCTC